GTCGATCAGAGTGTCCTCATCAAGGAACCCGGGAAGACTCTGGATAAAGAAAAGGTACCAGCTAGCAACCTTTATTAGTCCACACACAGACCAAAAAAACACAGAACAATTTCAAATTTTGTCTTTCAGATCTTTGGCATGTTGCCTGTTAAAAAAATACCACATATACCACACCAAGTCCAAGATGAAGATCGTACAGAATGTTTGAATGTGAGGCCAAGGAGATATGTTTTACCACATCCAGGAAATGAAGAGGAACCCTATACTGTTTTCCAGGTACTAAGCATAAAGCACCATACAATACAAAGCATATTAAACACATGTGGTCTTTTAAAATATTGTTACATGTACCTTTTATTCTGTTGTCCCAAACTGTGCAGAATGTAGGACTGAAAACAGCAACAAATCTGGTAATGAGACTACCCAGTTGTCTCAGCTTCAAGGGAAGATATTATGCACAACCCATTGGTAACCTTTGACCTGTACCTGACCTGTACTTGAAGTTGTGCAACTGGTTATTCCAATCTACTTTGTATTCTTCTTCTTTACAGTTTACGCAGATCATCCTGTTATGATGGATAGAATAATGCATTCGCCAGGTATTGTTGGATTATCTGCAGCAGGCCCTGGTATGGAGCCTGAACCAGTAAAAACAGTTCGCACTTTCTTCCCTGAGACCTGGATATGGGACCTTATGGAGACTGGGTGAGATGCTGATTGTCATGATTTTCTTTAGAGATCTGACCCACATGCAGTAAACCACTCAGAGAACCAGGGTAAAGGTTTGAACAGGTTTGTTGATAAGGACAGCGGGGGTTGGATGCACGAAACTCAGTGTGCTGGTTAACCGGAACTGGAAGAGGGAAGGGAAGTATCAGCGATTAGTTCAGCATCCGTGGAAACTTTGAGCAATGGCTGGAGAGACAGAGAAAATGGGACTCACGTTGATTGAGAAGACCTCTTCTCCCAGAATCCAGTCGGTGAGGGTTTATCCAGAGTTAGAGACTCGTTGGAGGGTGGACAGGATTAGACTTGGTTGAATCCAGGACGACTTGAATGGAACTTGTGGAGGTTAATCCCCTGCTCAGTGTGAGACTCAAACCATCCTTCCAGGGGAAGAAGGCCAAACATCCAGCTTGCAGGAATTCTTCCTGCTGAAAAGGCAAAGACAAAGACAAGGTTAGGCTCAGCTAAAACAAAGACTAAGTTAGACTCAGCTAAACTCAGCTTGGCTAGAGTACCCAAAAGTGGCAAACACTCGGGCGTTGAGGTAGTGACAGTCCACCGCTCGAATAGTCCTCAGTAATGAGCAAACCAGCCGCAGGTGTGTGGGAGGACCAACAAGAACAGGGCGCTACCTTGTGGTGGAGGGAAAGAACAACACAAAAACACAACCCACACAAACTGGATTCCTAACACTGATGAAAACCTGCAGTTTGTAGCACTGTTGCCTTGGATTACTGGCCCAGGGTCTTTCTGCATGGGGTTTGTAAGTTCTACTGTGCATTTGTATGTTTCAAAAACATGTCTGTCAGATTGATTTGTATCTCTTAATTTTCATCGCGTTAGCGTGTCACACTTGTAGTAGGGTGACCAGATTTTGGTTTCTGGTGTTAGAGTTAGAACGTCCAGTCACCCTAAGTTGTAGAATGTTTCAGTTGGACCCAAAATGCAGAAAAGGAGGCTGAGTGGTTTTCCTGTAGATGATGATGGCAGCAGGCTTAATCCCAGAGTA